CCCCCCCCCCCCCCGTTCCCCAAAGGCCCACTTGGGAGGGGGCTTGTGTAGTCCTGCGCTGGCCTTCTCCCCGTGCCCCATAAGATGCCACCAGCCCTTCCCGCCTAGCCTGGCGGAGCCGGCCGTGAGTCTGCTAGGCTGAAGGGGATGAGAGGAACATGGCAGGGCGGTGGTCCCGAGCCTTTCCCTGCTTCTCCTGGGACCGGTGACTGGCGTGTCCTCTGTTCTGGTGTGAACATTTGGAGTCCAGATGGGGCCAGCAAAACTGGGGCTGTTCTGCTCTGTCGGGGACTCCTGTCGTGAGAGCTCACTGCCATGCTGCCCGGATAGCCTGGTCCAGCCCTTCGCCTCTGCCCCAGCCAGGAAAGAGATGCATCCGGCTCTTTCTCCCTCTCTCCCCAGTCTCTCCTGAAAGTGGCCCTGAAGGAAGGAGGGCACAGACAGGTGTCCACAAAGTTCCCTCTCGCTCAGCAGCCCGGACTGGACTCCTTGCGCTTGGGGCCAGGTATTCCCCCCAGGAAGCTGGGAGGGGACTTTGCAGCTAGGCTGGACGGCGTGGATAGGCGATTGGCTGGATTCCTTCCACTTACTGATCTCCCAGAGCAGATCTGGTGGATTCCTATCTCAACCGAAGGCTAGCCCTGGACATTCTGGCAAGGATCTTAGATGAGGGAACAAATGGGCAGTTATTAGGAGTCCTCCCAAAAGGTAGGTTTCACAGAGTGCTGCCAGGTGAAAACAGGCCTCTTGGCAAAATGCTCGTGGTGGGTGTACAGACCTAGCCTCCGCCGGAAGACAGAAAGCTGGAGACCGGATGTGCAAGGGCACGTGTAGGTTCCAGTCAGAAGCGTCTAGCTGAGAATGTAAGCATCTTGGCCTTGACTTCGGCGGGACCCGAGCAGGAAGGGAAACCCCACCGTGATAAACAGTGTGAGCTTAGGCGGAGGATGCTGGCCCATGCAACAGTCAGGCGGAAGGGTGGGGAAAGGGTGAAGGCCTGCCTGAAGCTTGCTCTCAGGGCTGATGTGACGCCCGTGGCACCTGCTGAGAGCAGCTGTTTCTGCTCTTTCTGAGCTCTGGAGGGAGAAGAGGGCAGGCTGCACCAGAGTACAATTAGCCAAACAAACAAAGCAAAATTGCACGCACCCCCCACTCCCTGTGAGTCAGGCTGTCTTTAGGCTACCGGGTCACACCCCCTCCCACCAGCGGTCCGGAAGATCCCAAGGTGGTGCCTGAATCCTAATGGTAGCTGATCTTGAGTGTGCTTGCATGGACCTTACCCGTATTTTACTATTCAGTTCTCAACCCCAGAGGCATGTGCTGCTACACCAACGTTTTCCTAGACGGGGCAACACAGAAACAGCAGAAGTAACTTGCCAGACAGTGAAGCAAGATGTGCTGGGAGTGTGGCAGCTAGAGAGAAGGCTCAGCTGGCAAGGTGTGAGCTGTACAAGCCCGAGGACCCAGCTTTGTGAACCCATGTGAAAAAGCACAGGCTTAGGGATGGAGGTCTGAAGATCCCTGGGGCTTACGGGCCAGCCAGCTTAGCTAAATTGGCAAGCTCTGGCTTCAGTGAGAAACCCTTGATTAAATAAAAAAATAAAGTTGGAAAGCGACCAAGGAAGATAGACCTTGACCTCTGGCCTACACATGATTATGCGTGTGTGCGCGCCCACACACACGCATCACATTCACAGAACAAAAATTCATCCAAAAGAGAGGAGTGCCTAGGACTGTCCATAAAGTCCCCCTTGCCTTTTATCTTCACACAAACATACGCACCAAGATATACACACAGCCTGATGGTTGGTAGCACATACCTTTAACCTGAGCTCTGGGAAAAACAAAAACAAACAAACAAAAAAACAAATATGACCACACATACACAAAAATGCATATACAAAAACATGCACATGAGCACACATATACACAATATACATACACACAAAGCCACAAAAAATGTACACACCAGGCGAGGCCACAGCACCACGCTGGGTGCCCCCTTGCAAGGCCCCCTTTCAAAAGCGGATAGGCTGTGTCATGGAAAGAGTTGCAGTCACTAAGGGGTGTGGTCGGAAGCCCCCTGTGTCCTCAGCCCCTCCCCCATTGTACTCCTGTGAGGCCCTGGACATTCCCGAAGCCCCTCCCCTGTGAACTGAAGCATCAGAGGAAATCCTTCAAGTCATCCGGATGGCTCGGGAAAGGCAAATGATCCGGGAGTAGACAGTGGGGGAAGAGGTGAGCTGCCGAGGCGTGCGGGCTATCCTTGCCCAGACAGCACAGCTCACGCTCTGCCTTAAGATGCAGCAGACTGAAAAGGTGGGGAGGGAGAAAGGTTTCCAGCTGTGACTTTTTTCTGCACTTGAACCCCAGAGGCCTTCTCATGTAGCTTCAGCTCTGGATCAGAGGCGAAGACTCCTCCCTCATCCAACCCCTTCCCCTGCCTGCTGCCCCGCCCCACCCTCACCCCGTGTCATCTCCACCTCCCACCTTGTCCTTTCGGGTTCCCTTCTGTAAGCAAGGAGGGTTCTCCCTCCCAGGTGGCAGCTGGGGTGGTTGTGGGGAATATCAGTTCTGGAAGGTTATTGTTAGGACGGTCACCATGGCAACAAGCATCACATCTGCAGAGCCACAAGCGATGCACGTGGGTCTCGTTCTCCCAAAGAAAACCGCCGCCTTCCTGATGCCTTTACCTTCAGGGTCTGCCGCTGGGTAGGGGCATTGTCACCACTCCCTCCTGTCACAGGCACAGCAGCCTGCCCAGAAGAACAGAGCCCATCAACCCCCAATCACCTGGCAGCAGTGATGGGAGCGGTGGTGACGATGGCAGTGAGAGTATTGGCAGTGATGGTGGCAGCGGTGGTGGCAAAGGTGCTGGCTGGTGGTGCCGGGTGGCAACATCAGACTGACTAGCTTCAGATCACAAAGTTAGCCCAGTCCAGATCCGCCTTCATAACTAGCTCGTACCTTTAACGAGGGTGAGAGTGATCCCCGGCGCTCCTGGTGCGGTTGCTGCGAACCAGCTGTATGCATGGCCCTGCCCCGGCAGAGAACACACCAGAGAATGGCAAGGTGGTTGTGCCCATGGGGCTTATATTGACAAGAACACAACACACAATAACCCCCACCGCCATGACTGCTTGTTTCTCCGTGATTTCAGTGGCCCTGAACCAGCCACAGTCCAAAAAAAATACTAAACGGCATGTTGCAAAAAGAAACAACTCTTGCATTTCCAGTTGCATGCAGTTTTGGGGTAGAGCGTGTGGTTGCACTCCATACTGTACTGGCTGCGAATTATCCTTTGGTCCTACATCTCTCTGCCCTATTGTATGCATGTGTGGGGCAGACGGCAATAGGATTCGACACTAGCTGTGGCCACGGGGGCCTTGGAACCCCACACACACTTTATGATTAGGGTAGAGAGGCTAGTCTATATAGAAAGCAGGTGATCTGCTAGGTGACAGGTACTGCCTTCAGAGTGTCCGTGGAAGGCTTTTTGCGGAGGTGACATGTAAGCTGAGGTCTGGATGACATGGGGAAGGTGACCTTAAGAGCCATCCTCTGAAGAGAAGAGAAGAGAAACGGGTGTTGGCAAAAGAGGCTGCTATGCAAAGGCCCTGCAGGTAGAATGGGCCCGTGTTGTTTAAGGAAAAGAATAAGGAGACTGAGGCAGAAAAAGCCCCACTGTGTTTTGTTGGTGGTTCCTCTGTAGGAGACTCTGTCTGGCATCTGAGTTCTCCAACAGCTGTGAAGCACCATTATGGCCAATACAACATGATAGATGGAGCTTGCTAGTCAGCCCTGAGCAGCGTTCACGGGCCTGCCTCAGAGGTTCAACTTGAGGATATCAGACAGTAACCTCAGGCTTACTCCTGCTTACCAGGCAGAGCTTAAGGGGGGTACCACCCTGTCCAGAAGGGGCCAGACCACAGCCGTGGGCACTCCCAGACTGCAGCTTGGTGCCACCTCTCCTGTACGCTGTCTAGGCTTCTGGCGGGTTGAGGCTCCTTGGAGCGCTCCTGGTACTCCCTGGACCCTTGCTGAGGTACATCCCTTCAGAGTGACCTCACCATGTCTATTCTAATTGGCGTCACCTCCACTCTCTTGGCGCAGCCTCGGGACTGGACACAGAACACACACTATCCCAGCTCAGCATAATCCAAGCAGTTCTCCTAGCAGGAGTGATGACTGACAGGGCAGGTCCAAATGGCCAGGAGAACCCAGGGAGTTCTCCAGCTCCTGCTTACCCCATAGGGACACTAGGGGCTTGCCATCGCGGGGGCTCCCTCCTTGGGAGACCTGCAGTGGGGCCTCCCATGCTCTCCTGTGCAGCTTCTTCCCATAGGCAAGAAGGCTAAACGTGAGAGGCCTGGGGCTGGGGCTCGAGTCTCGCCAAGGACAGGGGCCTGCTGCCCCAGCTAGGCTGACAAGAAAGACAGCGTGACCGCCGTGGCGTTTAGGGGACCACAGAGTTTTCATGCCTGCACACTCTGCTCTGGCGTCTATCTAAAGTAGGCGCTTTCTTTGCTCTGACACCAAGACCCAGCTGCCCTCTTCTTGTCCCAAGCAGGGTTTGATGGAGGAGGACAGGGGA